TCCTCCCACCTCGGCCTCCCAAAGTGTTGGGATTACAGGCGTGAGGCACTGCACCCGCGGGTCTTTTTTTTTTTTTTTTAATTTAAGAACTAGAATGGAAGCCCGGGTTTCTTACCTTCAAGATGTTGGCAATAACGCCTTTCCCCTTATAGGCTGTGGTGAGTTAACTTACATAAAGTGCTTCTAAGAGACCCTGGCCCTTGGTGAGCACTCAGTAACCTCTGATCATTAGCAAGTAAATAGCACAAAAATGATCAAAGCAGGAGAATCACCGATGTCAGTGAAGCACAGCCCAAACCCTGCTCTGAAGACACCAGCTTCCTCCTGAGGGTGGGGCAGGGGGTGACCTATCCCTACCAGCTCCAGCTTCCGCTACCCCAGGTGCCCAGAGCCCTGCCAGTCCCAGGCCTCACCTATGTAGTACTTCATCTCCGTGTCATGCTGGTTCATCAGCTCGAGCAGCCGCAGCTCAATCTGGGCCTGGTTCAGGAAGGCCTTTTTGTTCTTGATGATCTTGATAGCCACGAGTTCCTGGGTCTGATGGTCATAAGCTTTCACCACCTGTTGGGGAAGGGCATGTCACAAAGGGAGGGGTGGGGGCAGGACAGAGCCAGGCACCATTCGCCTCCCTCCAGGCAAGGAGATCCACCAGTAACACTATGAATGCTTTGCAGTTGAGTGCGCACCATTAGTCAGGCACTGATGTAAACACTGGACTTGAAATAACATAACCACCTTATGCTGCATCTTGTTATTTGAACTATTTTACAGAAAAGGCAGCTGAGGCACAGGGAAGCTAAGTGGGCTAGGGTGAGTGGCCCAGCATGGGACTTGAAGCCACTGAACCCTTGGGTATGTGGTCGATGTTAGTGGGGCCCTGGATCAGGGTGGGAGGGGGTGTCCCACACCTGGCCAAAGGAGCCTTTGCCAATGAGTGAGTCAATCTCGTAGCGCTCCAGCCAGCGCTCGCCACTGCGCACAATGTAGTCATGGTTGTCATCATCATAACCATGGTTCAGGACCTTCTTCTCCTTCTTGGTGCTGGAATCCTGGGGTGGCGCCTGCTGGGCCCGCCGCTTCTTCTTCGCATAGTATACCTGCCCAGCCAGGAGACGGGGACTGGTGAGTGACTCATGCCGGCAGCCAAGACCCTCGGCACCCAGCCCAGGATCCTCCACCCCCTGCCCACCTCATTGATGTGCTTGTAGGTCTTGATGAGGTCCACAGAGAGCTTACGCAGTGGGGCTGAGGTTGCATCCCGGAAGGCCAGGGGCAGCCTCCGAGGCAGTAGCCGCACATCAGGCAATACCTGCAGGGCAGGGTGAGGGGTGGGCACTGAGGATGGACCTTCACCCTCAACCTCAAGAGGGAGAACTGTATGGGTGGCTGACATATCATATATTTGGTTGCTATCTGTATTTGTTCTACCCCTCCAGGAAAGAAAGTCCCCCAGGGCTGAGACTTTCTCCTGTTTCTCACCGTGCCTCCAGTGCCTGCAGCAGGGCCTGGCACACACTGGATGCTCTTAGAGGTCTGTGGTGTGAATGACCTTTCACCCCTCACCTTTACTCCTTTCCGAACCTCAGTGGGAGAGATCATATGGAAGACCTGGGCTCTGCTCCTCCCCATTCTTCACTGTGAAGCCAGCCATTCTGGGTATCCTCTGAAGTCCCTCCATCTCAATTCACCCTTATCCCCTGGGCCCCAACCCATACCTCCACCAACTCTTTGCACAGTTCTTTTACCCCAAGATTCTTGGATCTGGCCCCTGGACCTCCCACTCCATCCTGCTTCAAGCTCTGCATGTCACTGCCTTCACTGCCTCTAGCCTTAGAGAGCTTTGCCCTGCACCTGTTGGCCCCAAGACCTTTTAGACCCAACCCCCCTCCCCCTTCACCCACTCCAGATCTTTCACTCTGAACTTCTCTTCTTAGTGAGCATTTATTGGGTATTTACTATGTGCCAGGCACCGTTCTAGGTGTTTTACATGCATACCATTAACTCATTTAATCCTCACAACAACCCTGTGAGGTAGGTATCATTATTGGGCCCATTTCACAGAATAAAAATCTCAAGTACGGAGAATCTAAATAATTTAACCACTGGGTCAGGATTTGAACCCAGCCTCTCCAAACCCTGACTCTGCCTGCAACTCCTCTGTTATTTCCCAATCCCACGGGACCCATTATGCACCCAGGAGACTGTCTTGGGCAACTACATTACCTTCTGGTCTGGTGACCCTTCTATCCCCAGACTCCCCCTACTACCAGGCAGGTGAGGAGCCAGCTGAACGCGTACCTGCGTGTGCTCCTGGGGCCCTGGGAAGCCAGAGAAGGGACCATGGCCCGGTGGGACGGCCATGGTGGGCTCAGAGGGCCACAGGGGAGCGAGGCCTGGAGCGGGAGCCCGGCCGGGGGGCGCCTTCTTGCATCCTGCACCTCGGCTGCCACCGCCGCTGAGACCTGAGAGCAGGCAGGAGGCGGGAAAACAACATGGAACAAGGCGATATGTGGATAATGCCAGGCGGGGAAGAGGTGGGCATGAGAAAGGCAGGGCACAGAGACATGAAGAAAAGGGTGCAATGGAGCAACAGGTAGCAATGTAGAGAAGGGACAGAGAAGTGACAGCCAGGTGAGGGGCAGCACAGCAGTCTCTCGACAAATAATGATCAAGTAAATGAAGAAAGCAGCACAAAGAGAACACATAAAAGACAATGATTGGGGGCCAGGCAGGGGTCAATATGAGCCACCACAGGGAAAGGAGGACGGGAAGATCCCAATAATTTGGAGGAGAAAAAGAAAAAAAAGAAACCACAGACAGTATGCAGAGAGGAGCAGGCTTCATTCCTTTTCACTACTAGTCATGGCCCTCCCCAGGGCCCCTCACACAAGATCCCACCCTTCTGCAGACTTCGCTGAACATCAGGATCTCAGCCCGTAGCACAGCAAGGGCCACTACTTCAAGATCTATCCTTCTCAGTAGGTTCCCTCAACCCAGAGAACTCTAGGATTCCCAACCCACATGAGTCTTCCCCTCCCAAACCACAGCAGAGTCCTCTACAGACCCCTAAAAACACAGGAGCGTCCTTGTGGACCTCCCAACCACACCAAGGTTACCTGAGAACCTCTACAGAACAGAGTCCTATCTCTGCGGCATTCTCATCCACAGGGGCACACCTTTCCCAGGGGACCCTCTCCATATCATGCCAAGACCACTTCCCTATATCAGATTCTCCATATCAGGAACCAGCCTTCCAGGTAGTCTCCTGATATCATATCCCAGTACCCCCTGCCCCAACAGGGTGCTTCCCCATATTACTTCAAGACCCCATCCCAATCAAGGCCCATTCCTCCTTATGGAAGAAGGGGGAAGTATCTCTTCCCACAGTTTAGAGTGATCATTCTTTTCTCCCCTACACTGCTTCCTTGTCCCCCCCAACACACACACAAACACGCACATGCACACTGCCTAATATTCCTACCAGACACCTTTCTCCAGGCACCCCTCTTTATACCAGGGTCATTCCATAACTGTGTCCACTCCTAGAGGGCCCCAAAGCCAAATCCCCAAATATCACATAGGGTTCTCTCCTCCCAGAGTGTCAGTCACAGCAAAAATCTTCTCCCCATGGGCAATGTCATTCTCTCCCCCATGTCAAATCCCTTTCTGCTATTCCATGCCTTGCCACTCCACGACTCCTCCACCCTTGGAGCTTCCTCCTAAAACCACCCCTTTTCCGGGGCCCTCCCACACCAGGAGCATTTCTCCCAGCCCCCACCCCCTACCCGGGTCAGGACTGGCGCGGGGCCCACGGGGGGCTGGGGCGCGGTGGGGCCCCCAGTGGGGTGGGCGAGCAGCCAGCATGGCGGCGGTGGCGGTGTTGAGAAGGCGGCCGCCTGTCCCTGGCCCGGCCGGCCCCGCGGTGGGGAGGGCAAGCGGGACAGGCGGCCCGGTGGGTGACAACAGCAGCGGCCGCTGCCACCGGGGGCGGGGAAAGGGGACAAGGGTCAGCCCAGGGCATGCGGGGGAAGAGTAGAGCAGGTGGACGGGGGAGGGGCAAGTTAACCCTCACCCTACGGACCACGCCCCGCCCTGAGTGGCCACCAGCCCCTAGGGACCCCGGCGTCCCGCCCCCAACCCAGGAGGCCCTCCTGGGCCAGCAGAGACCGGGCGGGCGGGGCCCGACTGAGCTTGGCAATCTACACCTGCCATGGCAACAACTATGCCATTGGTCGCTGGTGCCAAGAGCTCAGCCAATCACAGCCTAGGGCAGATGTTGCTAGGCGACGATGAAGCGGCCCGCGGAGCCGAGCCCAAACAAAGGGCGGGAGTGGGGCCTCACTACCCCCTCCCAGCCTCCCTCCTGAAACAGCTCCCTCGGGCTTGGCCCGTTCCAGGAATTCAACTATGAATAGCCAGGCAGGGCCCGCACCTGCCCGCCACCCCCCTCCTTTCCTCCATCGGCCTCGTGCTAAGTCTCGCGGCGACGCGGGCAGGGCGGTTCCGTCCTGCCCACCTCCCAGCAAGCGCGTGCCGCCCCACCCGTCCCCGCGCCATTACCTGAGGGAGCGGGCAAGGGGACTCAAACTGCTCGGGGAGCCCGAGCTCAGACCTGCTCACTAGCTGAGGGTATCCGGCGGACGCGGCAAGCCTGGGCCCCGATTACCCAGTAATGCAACCAGCAAAATGGCGACCACAACAAACCGGCCCCCCCACGCCCCGGACTCCGCCCCCATCCCTCCCTCTCCGCTCCCCTCACGTGACCCAGACTGACACTTCGCTTGCGTGTGACAGCCGCTTACCTGCACGCATGCGCAGTGAGCTACCAATCCCACCCAAGAACCGAAATCCAGGCTGCGGCTGCGCAAGAGGCAGCTGGAAATGCAGCATGCGCTCTGTGACTGACCGGGTGAGAATTTACCCCCAACCCCGCAAAATTGACCAGGGGTGCATGCGCTCTGTGTCAACAGGTCAAGGAGCAGAATGAGCAGCAGACATAAGAGACGGATGAGTCTTTTAATAGAAAAACACACGTGCAACAGTATCAACACACATCTCTCGCAATCCAGACAGCGCTGAACTTCAGTTCTTCACCTTGGGGGGTGGCCTGTGAGAGGAAGATAGATGATGAAGAAAGGTCCCCAGGATCACTCGGGGTGCAAGGGACAGAGATGTCTGTCCTGGTGCACTGCTGGGCCCCTGCTCACCTGTACACTCCCACGACCACGGCGTGGTCTCTTTCATATGGCTCGAGGGTCAGCTGCTCCTGTGGCTTCATATTCTCCTGTTGCATCTTTTTCACTTCGGAGGCAAACACAGCCTCGGCTGAGGCTGTAGAGTCAATGCAGTTGGCCTGCAGAGGAGAAAGGACTGATTGATGTCTACAACAGGGCTTTGCACTGTCTTCCTTTTGCGTGCTCTTTAAACCCGATGTTTTCATTAGTAATTCAAGTAAAATTCGGTGCTATGGTTCGAATGTGTCCCCCAAAGTTCAACTGTTGGAAACTTATCCCTTAAATGCAAGAGTTGAGAGATGATTTAGGTCATGAGGGCTCTGCCTTCCTGAATAGACTAATGCTATTATCACAAGAACAGGTTCCTGATTAAAAAGATGATTATGCCCCCTTTCTATCTTGCTCACCCTTCTGCCAATGGATGAAGGCCCTCACCAGATTCAGACCCCCAATCTTGGACTGTAAAGCCTTCGGAACTAGGAGCCAAATAAATTTCCATTCATTATAAATTAACCAGTCTATGGCATTCTGTGATAGCTGCACAAAACGGGCTAAGACCCTTGGGTTTAGGAAACGTGATAAAGGACTTAACTTAAAAAGTTTTTGACTGGATGCAGTGGCTTATGTCTGTAATCCTAGCACTTTGGGAGGCTGAGGCGGGCAGCTTGCCTGAGCTCAGGAGCTCCAGACCAGTCTGAGCAGCATGGCGAAACACGATCTCTACTAAAAATACAAAAATTAGCCAGGTGTGGTGGCACACGCCTGTAGTCCCAGCTACTCGGGAGGCTGAGGCATTAGACTTGCTTGAACCTGGGAGGTGGAGGTTACAGTGAGCCAAGATTGCATCACTTCACTCTAGCCTGGATGACAGAGCAAGACTCTGTATCGAATTCAAAATAAAAAAAGTTTTTAATTTGTTTTGGATTTGAAGCAAGAAGCCTTAAACAGTGCTATTTATCTAAAAGCATGTGTTTAAATTTTACACCCAGTATTGTTGGGTTTATTTCTACTTCCTCTTCTTTAATAATAGTAATAATGGAGTTGAGAATAAAAAAACAAATGTAGCAAAAGGCTAACAGTAGTGAACCTTGTGAAGGGTACATGGGAGAGTTCTCTGTTATTGCCAAATAATAATGTCGAGAAAGACGCGCCTAGCTTTTATCTATCATCTATTCTATGCCAGGATCTTTTCTAAACACTTCACATATATTGACTAACTTGATCCTGTCATCCACCCTGAAAAAGACTACACTAATAGCGCTATTTCACAAATGAAGAAACTGAGGCATATAGGTCAAGTAACTTGTTCAGTCACACAGCAGACTGGAATTAAACTCAGATGGTTCCAATGCAAGATGAATAAAAAAAATAAAAAATAAAAATAAACTCTGATGGTCAGACTCAATTTGTACTTAACCACTGCACTCTCCAGCCTCTTTAAATCCAAAGCTATAGTTTTGCAGACTTGGCCCCTCTGTCTTGGGTGGCCATTTGACAGACATAGATAGAGAAGATACCTTCTTAGAGCACTGCCACCCCATCTTAGACTCCTCCAAACCCCGCACCTTAATGGAAATCACAAAGTGTCCTCCATTACGCAGGAAGGTGTGGGCATTCAGGGCCACAATCCGGGTCTGGTCTGGCTGGGCCACATCGGCAAAGATCACATCCACCATTGCTAAGGAGAAAGGGGTTGCAGTTAAAAGCTGGAGTCACAGAGATCATCCCGGATCCTCCCATGGGGCCTATGCCCATCGCCAGCAGGTTCCTGGGAGATTCTCCCTGCCTCCAGTTTCACTCCCCACCTCCACTGGTCCCCCTCCCTCCACAGCGTCCCAAAATGATCCAAAACCCACAGTCACATCATTCATTCACTTTTCTTGTAAACCATGGTTGCCACCTACTCTGTGGCCAGCCCTGGGCCGGGCGTGGGGGACATAGAGACGAGTCAGACCTGGACCCTGCCCTCGAGACGCTCCCAGGTCTGGTGGGGAGACAGACACGTCATCAAAACGACAAGTAAGAGTAAATGCACACTTACAGGCAAGGGTGTCTGCAGGGCTGTGAAATGAAAACAAGTTGCAGAACAAGGGGGATGGTACGAGTACATGGGGAAAAGAAAATCTCACAGAGGGAAAAATGAGCAGAATGAAAATGTTTAAGGTAGTGTGACTTTTTAAAAATGAAAAGATGGTAAAATGAAAATTGATTATTTAAAACTTGGGAAAAGCAGACATCAAATTGTTCTCATTAATTACTTCTTGGGGGTGGTTCATAAGGCTTTTCAACTTTTACATTATACCTTTGAATGTTTTTTTAAAGCAAAGTCATTAATATTCATAATGGGCCCCTCTGGGTCAAGCCATGCTCAGTTTCTGTTTTCTGGGCTACGCTCTCACCAGACAACGATAAGGACCCCCCAAAGGAGGCTTTTATGCAGGGGCAATGTAATAAATACAGGAGGCAAGAAGTACAAGAGACCTAGGAGATGGGGAGGAGACTGAAGGAAAGGAGGCTGGCCCTCCAAGGGTAGCTTCCAAGACTCTGAAGCCAAGCTGCTGCCTCCACAGCCTCACCTAGCTCCCCTTACCCCTTTATATTCCTGCAAACTCAAGAGGTCTGCTCATCCACTCCAACTCCATCCAAATCAGGGGTCTACTGGCTTCTTCCAGGAAGCCTGCAGTGGCCTGTCCTACCCCACCGGGGCCACCTCCAGACCCCTCACCGATGAGCATGCGGTATTTGTGCGGGTGCCGAGCATCCTCAATCACAGGAATAATGTTGGTCCTCTTCTTGGCCAAGTTAATGAGGTCACGGCCAGAGCGGTGGGAGAACTCAACTGCATAGACTAGACCATCCTAAAATGAATTAAAAATTAAAGAACAATCATGATGCTAGTTTCCATGTATGGAGTGCCTACTTTAGGCCCATGGACTATATATAGCATCTCTTCCTACCCCAAAATCAAAACCCTACCACTATTTTTTTTTTTTTTTCTTTTTTTGGGGACGGAGTTTCGCTCTCGTTACCCAGGCTGGAGCGCAATGGCGCGATCTCAGCTCACCGCAACCTCCGCCTCCTGGGTTCAGGCAATTCTCCTGCCTCAGCCTCCTGAGTAGCTGGGATTACAGGCACGCACCACCATGCCCAGCTAATTTTGTGTAGTTTTAGTAGAGATGGGGTTTCACCATGTTGACAAGGATGGTCTCGATCTCTTGACCTCGTGATCCACCCGCCTCGGCCTCCCACAGTGCTGGGATTACAGGCTTGAGCCACCGCGCCCGGCCAAAACCCTACCACTATTGTTATCATATCCTTTTTACACATGAATAAACTGAGGTCCAGAGTCATAAAGTCACTGGCCAAGGGTTATTCATCAGGTAGCAAAAGTACCCAATCCCATTTGCCTGATCTGAGAGCCTAGGCTCCCAACAAAGGGTTAAAACCAGGAAGCAAGGCACAGAGATGATGTAACAATGGGTCAACCACTGCTTTAAGCTCCTTATGGAAATTAACTCATTTAATCTTCACAAGTCTTTGTTCCAGAGAGGTAAACTGAGGCTTGGATAGGTTAGGTAACTTTCCTGATTAAAGCCTGAGGTTTTTTTTTTTTTTTTTTTTCCCCAGAGACAGAGTCTTGCTCTATCACCTAGGCTGGAGTGCAGTGGTGCAATATTGGCTTACTACAAGCTTTGCCTCCCAGGTTCAAGCAATTCTCCTGTCTCAGCCTCTCGAGTAGCTGGGATTACAGGCACACGCCACCATGCCCAGCTAATTTTTATATTTTCAGCAGAGACGGGGTTTTACTCTATCGGTCAGGCTGGTCTCGAACTCCTGACCTCAGGTGATCTACTCACCTCAGCCTCCCGAAGTGCTGGAGTTACAGGCATGAGTCACCTCACCCGGCCAAAGCCTAGGGTTTTAAGGCACTACACTCAACAGCTTATAAACATGTAAAGTAACAAAGGGTACCGGAGTGGGACACGCAGGTGCCAGGGGCCCTTTAAACGGAAAGCCTATTATACAACCACGCAGAAGCGCAGGCTCAGAAACCATGAGATCTCCTGGTTCTTTCTAAAGAAACCAGAAGAGCAGGTTTTAGGGGCATAACATTTTAAAGAGGGCCATCAAATCAAATAGTCTGGTATCCATACTCCCAGCTGTCTCTCTAAGGTTGGTTACCCCACACCCACGTCTCTTCCCTTGAGGCCAAGAACCCAGGAGCAAGGTTAAATGACACTATCTGGTTCAAGCTGCTCCTTTGACTCACAGGCACTGTGAGAGAAAAGGGCCTTGCCCTAAGTCACACAGCGCAGGCGAGCAGTCAAACCCTGATATTCCAGGTTGGCAGAGGGGAGGCAGCCTTTGCCTCCTGCCCGACTCTCTATCCACCCACTCACCGGACCGACGATGTCAGAGACATGGGAGACAGTGGTGCCCGAGGCAGCCCCGAGGTAGAGCACCTTGGCCCCCGGTTTGATGTGGATCTGGTCCACACCACCCAGGATTGCTGCTGCCAGCTTGGAGCGGAATGGGTTCCAGGCTCTGTACTCGACTTTGTCATCTCCTTCCTACACCAAGAGAGATGGGGATGAAAGTCAGTGCTAGACTCTTCCGCAGGACCTCACTGCCCTTAACCCCAGGGCCCTTGAAAGGAACTGGGCCATTCTATCACTGCACAAGAACCCAACGTGAGTACAGAGCAGTGACCATGACACATGCAGTTGCTGCCCTCTCATGGAGGTCACTGACTCAAGGGGCAGTAACAGAGAATACACACAGAGTAACAGTAAAACCAGCACTCACTCAACAAACACGCACTGTGCCAGCACCCACTGTGGGCCAGACCCTGCTCTAGGCCCTGGGGATGCAAGACAAGGGGATGCCTGCTCAGAAGGCGTGAGTAGTCACCAAACTAACTAAATATAACACGGCATATGAGATGGTGACAGGTGTCAAGGAGAGAAGAGGAAGCCAGGAAAGAAGATACGAAGTTTGGGAAGCAGGGCAAGGAGCAGGTGAAAGTGAGAAAGGAGACCAGGGAGGGGGTGAAAGGCAGATTCCGAATCAGACCACCAAAGGAGGCAAAGGGCCATTCAAGTTATCTGAGGAAGGACATTCCCAGGAGAGGTAAAGCGATTAGGAAAGGCCCAGGCAGCCCCTGGCCTCAAAGAAAATGACATGGGATAACAGGACAGGGAAGCATGGTGCAGGCTGCCTTGACACACAGGGTGGTGTGAGGCAGCCTGAGAAGCAGATAAGAAAGCAGCCTCCCACAGACCTGGAGGGCACTTGGCCAGGGGGGACAGAAGGAGACAGGGCCAGGGAGCAGGGAGGGGGAACTAGAATGTGCAGGGCCTTGGAGGCCACAGTGAAGAGTCAGGACTCGAACCTGAAGGCAGTGGGGAGTCACAGGAGGCGGGTGAGGAAGGGACCAGACAGTGTGGTTTACATATTATGACAATCCTCCAGCTGTCATGTGCAGGACACAGGGTGAGGGCAGACACCAGACTACTGGCTACACGCTCAGCTGTGCCCCTGGGGGCTTGGACAGGGGCCCAGGTCTCACCGGAATCGAGACTCTCTTCTCTCCATAAACTGATTCCCCAGGGACCAGGTTCTTGGTGACCAGTGCATCTTCCTTTCCTCGACAAATGAAGACACCTGGGTGAGGGGATCAGAGCAGGCCTGAGGACCCCCGGCCCCTTCCTGCCCCGAAGCTCAGCCAGCTCTGGCCTTCCTCACTCACCCTCATGCCGATGAGGCTCTACCATCACGTTCTTCCCTGACTGGTTTCCTTTTTTTCCTCCCCGACCACGACCCCGGTTGCCACCAGAATGGTAGCCTCCACCTATAAAGGAGGGGTACAACAGGAGAGGAAGATCCTGCATCTCCGCCCTCCCCACCCCCGGCCCCAAGGCCTCCTCCATAACCCCTCGCCAACCTTACTCACCACCTCTTCCTCTTCCTCCGCCGCCACCACCGCCGCCGCCGCCACCGCCACCGCCGCCGCCTCCTCCTCGTCCACGACCCCTAAAGCCTCCGCCTCGACCTCGGCCCCCGCCATAGCCCCCTCGGCCTCCACGACCGCCACGGTCACCAAAGCCCCCTCGGCCGCCAAAGCCACCCCCACGGGGACTGAAACCTGTGGTGGAAAAACAGAAACAGGAATCGGCGCAATGAAGCTTAAAAAGTTAAACAACCTTGTACCCAGCAATACCACTCAGGAGAAAAACCTAAAAACATGTGCCCGTGTGCACCAGGACACACTTCCAGGAATGCCTACGGCAAAAGAATAGCAGGACTCACACAAATGTCCATCAACAGAATGGACAAATAAAACAGAAGACACAATCAAGATCATGAATATGATCTTCTGTTATATACAACAGACCAATAAATGTTAAAATCATAATAATTTTTTTTTCCTTAGTGCTTTTTTTTTTTTTTTTTTTGAGACAGGGTCTCACTATGTTGCCCAGGCTGGAGAGCAGTGGCAGAATCATACCTCACTGCAGCCTTGAACCCCTGGGCACAAGCAATTCTCCTGCCTCGGTCGCTGAAGTAGCTAGGATTACAGGTGTGTGCCACTACTTCTGGCTAAATTTTTTCTTTTTTTTTTTTTTTTTTTTGTAGAGATGGGGATCTCACTATGTTACCCAGGCTGGTCTCCAGGTCCTGGCTCAAGTGATCCTCCTGCCTTGGCCTCCTGAAGTGCTGGGATTACAGGCATCAGCCACCATGTCCAGCCACAATCATATTCCCAATAAAAGGGGCAAGGGAATGAGAAATGCTAAACTCATGATACCTGTTAATGGGAAGGAGATATTAACATGAGGTTGGGACAGGGGAGGAGTACATGAGTAAATGCAGGTTACTGTTAATATCCTCGTTTCCTTGGTTGCATAGCAGATTCACAGAATTCATTCCATGCCAGTATGAATTACTGTGAAGAGTGAGCCCTGCATACGAGCACAGACGGTGACAATAGAGCCCCCTAGACTCTGGAAACGTCTTCATACCCCCAACTCCTGACCTTAAAGTGTCAACCCCAACCCCAAAACAGAGTGAAATACAGCATGTCATCCCTAACTCATCTCCCTGCTTCCAAGCTTAAAGAAGTCTCTCTCAGCTCGGGGGAAAAACAAGAAAAAGCAAAACAAACGGTCATTTAAGGATGGCTGCACCTTTTCGTTATTTTTGTAGAGGCAGGGTTTTACCAAGTTGGTTAAGCTGGTCTTAAACTCCTGACCTCAGGTGATCTACCCGCCTCGGCCTCCCAAAGTGCTGGGATTACAGTTGTGAGCCATCGCACCCAGCTGAAAAGTATCTTTTAATAGCTATTCCTAATTTAATCTTTAAAAGTGAATAGTTTTCATTTTCAAAACTCCCAAACATAATCAAAAGTTTTCTTTTTATCTTCTACGCCCTCTACAGCCCAGTTTTCACACAGCAGCTAATAAGTGCTGTTTTAAAACAGCAAGTAACATCTCACCATGTCCTTGCCCAAATCCCTCCACTGGTTTTCTACCACATTCAAAATGAAAGAAAAAAATGCCTTTCCCTGGGCTTACAAAGCCTGAAGTCAAAGCCTAAAATCTTTAGGCTTTAAATTCTGATTTCATTGTTCTGGGCACAAGGTCTTGCTAAAGCTCTCCAGGTGACTCCAATTGAGAACCATCATCTTGGGGATCTGGCCTGCGCTAACTTCCCCGACTTCATTCTCTCTATCCTGAGCCCCATGCCCTTCCCCATCAAGCATACACAGTCCAGCTTCTAAATCTTTACCATGTGCTGTTCCCACTCACTGCCCGGTTCCTGTAGACATGTGCACGGCTCGCTCACTCCTTCATTGCATTCTGGTCTCTCATGAAACGTTAGTTCCTCAGAAGTGCCTACTTTGGCCACCGTACCCTTACCCTGATTTCTTTCCCTTCAAATCAGCTATCACATGTGGCACTTGTAATATTATTAACAACTCCTTACCCTGATTTAGTTCCCTTCAACTCATCACATGTGGCATTTGTAATATTAACACCTGCCTCCCTCACTAGGCTGAAGCTACAAATGGGCAGGGATTTTTAATTGTTTTGATCACCACCACATCCCCAGAACCCTGCACAACACCTGGAACAAAGTATGGGCTCAATAAATGTTAAATGAGCACCATCTGCTGAGGATTCTTAAACCGTGGGCCCTGCCTCAAGGAGAAAGCATCCTCTGTGTGTTCAGAAGGTAGGTGATCCATCAGATCACCAAGGAAGTGTTGATCACAAGGATCCCATATGGAGGGATCACCAATGTTATTGCCACTCTCAACCCTAGTGCATAAGGAAGCTTCACAGGAGTTTTGAAAACTTCATCTGTAAGACATAAAGATAATACAGTGCCAGGCCGGGCGCCGTGGCTCATGCCTACAATCCCAGCACTTTGGGAGACTCAGGCAGGTGGACAGTTTGAGGCCAGGAGTTCAAGACCAGGCTGGCCAACATAGTGAAACCCTGTCTCTACTAAAAATACAAAAAATAACCTAAGCGTGGTGGCACGTGCCTGTGATTCCAGCTACTCAGGAGGCTAAGGCACAAAAATCAATTGAACCTAGGAGGTGGAGGCTGCAGTGAACCGAGATGGTGCCACTACATTCCAGCCTGGGTGACAGAGACAGATTCTGTCTCAAAAACAAACAAATACAGGGCCAGGCATGGTGGCTTACGCCTGAATCCCAGCACTTTGGGAGGCCGAGGCAGGCAGATCATGAAGTCAGGAGTTCGAGACCAGATTGACCATCATGGTGAAACCCCATCTCTAATAAAAATACAAAAATTAGCCTGGTGTGGTTGTGCGTGCCTGTAATCCCAGCTACTCAGAGGACTGAGGCAGGAGAATCACTTGAACCCAGGAGGCTGAGGTTGCAGTGAGCCACGATCACATGACTGCACTCCAGCCTGGGCAACAGAGCAAGACTCTGTCTCAAAAAATAATAATAATATACATACACACACACACGGCCCATCATATAGGGTTGCAAAGATTAAATGACTTATACACACAGAACACTTCACATGTATACTATCTGGCACATAGTTTGACCGTCATTATTCAGACTCAGGAGAATGAGTTCCCTCTCCCTCTTCATGTACCTTAATAGTATTAAAGATGAAAATGTAACTTTTAATAGCTACTCCTAATTTGATCTTATAAAATGAACAGTTTCATTTTCAAAACTCCCAAACATAAGCAGGAGTTGTTGACTTTTTATCTTCTACTCCCTCTACAGTCCACTTTCCACACAGCAACTAAAAGGTGCTATTTTTGAAACAGCAACTCAGATCTCATCACTTCCTTGCCCAAACCCTACAACAGTTGTCCAAAGCCAGGATCTTCATTTAGGGGAGATGCCACAGCTAGGCTTATGAAACTCTCAACCCAGACCTAATAGAAAAGAATCCTCGGCTGGGTGCGGTGGCTCAGGCCTGTAATCCCAACACTTTGGGAGGCTGGGGCAGGCGGATCACAAGGTCAAGAGATTGAGACCAGCCTGGCCAGCATGATGAAACCCCATCTCTACTAAAAATACAAAAATTAGCTGGGCATGGTGGCACACGCCTGTAATCCTGGCTACTTGGAGGCTGGGGCAGGAGAATCACTTGAACCTGGGAGGAGCAGGTTGCAGTGAGCCAGCTGAGATCGCGCCACTGAACTCCAGCCTGGCAACGGAGCAAGACTCAAAGAAAAAAAAAAAAAAAGAGTCCTGGGAAGTGCTGGCATGTGGATGGGGCACAGTGGGCATGCGTGTAAACTTTCAATCCCAGATACTCACAACATCTCAACCCATTTCAGGTCCTGGAGCTTTTGGGGAAGAATGTACCAAAAGTACCCACTCCTCAGAGAAAACAAATGTTCACACAAACTTTTCCAGTAAGTTTTTTTTGGGGGGAGGGAGCAAGGGGAGTCCACAAACCCGCCTGATTTAAAATCTGCTCTGCTTCCGCAGCTTTCTGTATCTCAAAAACAGCAATTCCATCATTCCAGTTACACACCCCCAAACCCTTGGTTATCCTTGACTCTGCTCACATACCCACATACAATCTGTTGGTTCTGTCTTCAAAAGCATGTAAAACTGTCAGCACATCCGCGGCTCCCATCCTGGTCCACCACACCATCTCCCAGCTTACAGCAACAAACTTCCCACTGAGGTGCCTGCTTCCACATTTGCCACCCTGAAGTCTTTCACACATCGAGGCAACAAGAATCCCTTTTTAAAATGTCAGACTGCACCATGCCCCTGCTCAAAATCTCCCAAAGGGTTCTCTCACTCAGACTAAAAATCCTTACTAAAGAGCTAACACCTGACAACTTCCACAGCTTCACATTCTACCACGCAATGAAGGAATGATGGAAGAAGGGGTATCCTCCATTCCTGAGGGAATCACAGACCAGGATGCCTGCAGGCAAGCCAGGATCTCAGTAGGAGAGATACCTGGCCTAGCATCCCCTACCCCACTTCATCAGCAGATCCCCAAACGCGGAAGAGAAAGGGAGCTTTAGGAGAAGGGCAAATCTCCTGCCAAATGACCCCCATCTCCACACACACGAGAAGGAAAGCCTGTACTAGCAAAACAGACCCCTTGGGCCATGGTGGAAAATTCTCCGAACTCTGAAGCAAGTTCTCACACAAATGAGTGGGGGTTGGGCAGGCGAGGAGATGGAGGAAGCACTTAAGACACCACGGAGAGGGATCCTAATTTTGTTCTCTTTGAGAAAGATAAAGGTAACAATTAGAGCCAATACTATTATACGTAAAGCACTGTGCTATTTTTTTTTTTTTTTTAGCGTCGCTTAATCCTAACTGCCGCCATTTTATTGATGAGAAAATTGAGGCTCAGAGACGTAAAGCCACTTGCCTAAGGTCACACAGCAGGCTAAGAAGCTGACCCAGAACTGAAACACTGAAATGAGGCCCTTCTGCTGTTAAAGCCAGGACCCTCATCGTTCCACCATGAAGGGAGTGGGTTCAGCAAAATCTAGTGGAAAATCGAAAAAATAAAACTACTTATGTCCTGTGACAACCACCCACCCCACCACCCCGGTCTAATGCCGGGCTTGTGAAGCCTCGCCGAGGAGGTGGAAATCTTAGGCCCCACATCTCCACTCCATCCCCGGGGATCCGCCCCCCTGTATGTGCAGAAGGCGGGAAAGTGAGCCAGAGAGCGCCGCACACGGCCAAGCGGGGAGTCCTCGTCCACTCCAGCCCACTCGGAGAAGCTGGGTTGGGGGATAAGAGGATGGTGGTGGCGGCAGCGACAGAGTCAAATAGAGGCTTCCCACACCCCGCTCCGGGACCCAAAGTCAGGAACCCTCCAGCTCCAACCCAAGCTTGATTCCCAAAACCCATGACCAGAGATCCAAGGATCCAGACTCTGGGCTAAGACCCTTAAGTGCCGCCTCCTGCCCAATATCCAAAGTCCCTATTAGACGGCCTCAATGAGACGAACCCCAGGTCAAGACCCCCAATGCCAGGCCCAAGGCCTTCGACTCACGACCTCCGAAGCCAGTCACAAACCCCTAAACCTCCTGGACTCAGGATCAATCCCAGAGCGGAACCAGGATCCCCCTTCCCACGAGACCGTAACCCAAGCTCAGAACCTCTGCCCCCTAGGTCAAGGCCCCATCCGTCCGATTCTGGCCTGGCACCTGGATTCCCGCCCGGCCTCCGCCCCTGACCCGGGACACCCACCCGGGCCTGACCTGGCTTCATGAGCCCTGGATTGTGCGCCTCCGGAGTCCGCGGCGTCTGCAACTCCACGAGTCCGGGGCTTTCGCACGTGGAAAAGAGCGCAGGCGCGCGGCGACGTGCGACGCGTAACGCAACCACGTAGCCCCGCCCCCGAGCCCTTCTGCGCCCGGAGCTCGGCGCACGCGCACTGTGCCTGGATTCTCCAGCCGGTCGACACACCGACCCTGGCCCTAGCTCTCTGCCCTCGCAGCGGCTTCTGTGCAGCGGTCGCCGTAAACTCGCTTTCGGCTTCTCCTTCCCCAGTGCGAGCACCCCAGTAATCAGGGCTCATAGTAAGGCCTTCACACAGGCTGTGCCCTCTTTTGTATTCCTAGCTAACTCCCAGAGTCCCCTGTACACCCAAAAAGGCTTCCTCGACCCATTTTCAGCCCCCAAAACAGTGACCGACTCTGGGCTCCCATCATACAAACACTTGCGCACCTCGTGTGTACAGACACTGTTCTAGGAGCTGGGAATACCGCGGTGTACGAGACATAAAAATATCACTCTCGGCCGAGCGCGGTGGCTCACGCCTTTAATCCCAGCACTTGGGAGGGCCGAGGTGGACGGATCACAAGGTCAGGAGTTGGAAACCAGCCTGACCAACACGGTGAAACCCTGTCTACTAAAAATACAAAAATCAGCTGGGCGTGAGCACGCCTGCAATCCCAGCTACTCAGGAGGTTAAGGCAGAATTGCTTGAACCTGGGAGGCGGAGGTTGCGGCGAGCTGAGATCACGCCACTTCACTCCAGGAGGGGAGACAGAGCAAGACTCCGTCTGAAAAAAAAAATCCACTCTCCTGGAGCTTATCTTTTTAATGGGGGAGATAGACATCAAACAAATTGAATGTTAGATGGCAATAAATGCTTTGGAGAAAACAGCAGGGAAGGGGTATAGGGATTTTGGAGGGCAAGTGATTTTTGTCTTTTTGTCATGGTGGTCAAGAAATGCATCCGATGACTTTTGAGCTAAAGAGCTGAAGGAAGGGAGGAGTGAGGCATGCACCTATCTAGGGGAAGAGAATTCCAGGCAGGGAAGAGATCTGTAGATGCAGAGGCCCTGAGAATTCCAGGCAGGGAAGAGATCTGTAGATGCAGAGGCCCTGGGGAAGGAAAGAGGAGAAGTTGGAGAGAGAATGAGGAGGCTGGTTGGGGTAAAGTGAGCAAGGTAGAGAGTGAAAGGAGATAAGGGCGGGTAGCTGACAAGGGCAGATTGGGCGGAGGTTTGTGGGACATAATGAGGACTTTGGCAGTAAGATGGAACCATGGAAGGGTCCTAAGTAGAGAAGGAGTGTGATCTGACACAGGTCCCTCTGGCTGCATGTGAGAAGCAGACTGCAGGTGTGAGGGTGGAAGCAGGAAAACCAAGGACTGGCTGCTGCAATGAATCAGGACCGAGACATGGATGAACAAGATAAGAGTGGAGGCAGAGAGAGGCATCAGGGGTGAACAGATTCTGCATAAGAATTTTGGCAGGGGGCAGTGACTCACTGCAATCTCCACCTCCCAGGTTCAAGTGATTCTCCTGCCTCAGCCTCCCAAGTAGCTGAGATTACAGGCATGTGCCACCACGCCCAGCTAACTTTGTATTTTTAGTAGAGATGGGGTTTCTCCATGTTTGTCAGACTGGTCTTGAACTCTTGACCTCAGGTGATCCACCCACCTGGGCTCCCAAAGTGCTGGGATTATGGGTGTGAGCCACTGCGCCCATCCTGTACAACAATTTCTATTCCTTTGGGTATATACCCAACAATGGGATTGCTGGGTGGAATGGTAATTCTATTTTAAGTTCTTTCAGAAATTACCCAACTGCTTTCCACAATGGCTGAAGTATTTACACTCCCACCAGCAGTGTATAAGTGTATAAGCATTCTCTTTTCTCTAAAACCTCACCAGCATCTGTTATTTTTTGACTTTTTAGTAATAGCCATTCTGACTGGTGTGAGACACCATCTGAGAGACATTGGAAGCATTAGCATGTCCCTAATGATTAGCGATGTTGAGCATTTTTTAATATAACTACATAATTTTAGGTAACAGGGCATCTGTGGCCAGAGGTTCCTTCTTAGGCAGCTTACTTGACCTCTCTGAAGAACCTCTAGCTTTATTGTCATCCAATTTCCACACTCCTACTGGCGACATGACAGCTGACAATCACCATGACAATGACCAGAAGAGACCAAAAAAGGACAAAAAAGAGGTGGCTCTTTGTTTCCAAGAAAATCTCCATCCCTTCCCAAGAAAAATCGTAAATATTCCTCCCCTTGCTTTTAATGCTCAACACATTCATTAAGAATATCTTTTATCTGTAACCTCCCAGTTTTGGAGAGCTGAGAAGTTGATCTGCAAGCTACACTCCCCACTTCTCCAATGCCACTGGCAATGAAGAAAGCGTGGGCTGCCTGAACCCGGGAGGCGGAGGTTACAGTGAGCTGAGATTTCGCCATTGTACTCCAGCCTGGGTGACAAGAGAGAAACTCTTTTTCAAGAAATAATGAAGGAAAGAAAGGAAGGAAGGGAGGGAGAGAGGGAGGGAAGAAAGAGGATATGAGTAATTACATTTAGGGCTCACCCAGATAATCCAATCAAGGATAATCTCCCTGTCTCAAGACCCTTAATCACACCTGCAAATACCACTTATCCACATAAGGCAATATTTGCAGGTTCAAGAGATTAGGATCTGATATCTTTGCAGGGGTGGGGGCATTTTTCAACCTACCACAAAATATTTCAAACTTAACACATAGTAGGTGCTCAAACACATTTATTTATTCATTGATTTGTTTTATTTTTATTTTGTAGAGATGAGGTCTCCCTGTGTTGCTCAGGCTGGTCTCAAACTCCTGGACTCAAAAAATCCTCCCACCTTGTCCTCCCAAAGTGCTAGGATTATGGTGTGAGCCATCACTCCTGGCAAAAACACATTTATTGAATGAATGAAGGAATGTCCACAGCAAGGTCATAAGGGCTAGCATTGGGTACACCTGTCAGCGAAAACGCATTTTGTGGGGTTTTTTTTTTGTTGTTTTTGAGACAGAGTCTCACTCACTCTGTCACCAGGCACCAGGGTGGAGTGCAGTGGCGCGATCTCGGCTCACTGCAACCTCTACCTCCCGGGTTCAAGCAATTCTCCTGCCTCAGCCTCCCGAATAGCTGGAACTACAGGCACGTGCCACCATGCCCAGCTAATTTTTTGTATTTTTTAGTAGAGATGGGGTTTCACCATGTTGGCCTGGGTGGTCTCGATCTCTTGACCCCCGATCCACCCAGCTTCCCAAAGTGCTGGGATTACAGGCGTAAGCCACCACACCCAGCCCATTCCTTAGGCTTTAAGGCAATTTGTATTTCCTTTTCTATGAACGATTCCAATCGTTTGCCTGTTTTTCTATTGGAATGTTGTATTTTATTCTTTATTTTTAGGACCTCTTAATTCTTTTTCTCGAAAGGAAATCGATCCCAGGCGACGGTTGACAGCAAAATTCAATAGAAAGCACTGGCTATGGCAGAGGACACATCTGGATTCAAATCTAGGCTCCATTATTTACAAACTGTTTGCCCTTGGGCAAGTTATTTAACTTCACTGATCTTATTTCTTTGTCTATTCCTATTTCAGAGTAATTTTGAAGTTCAGAAATACTGTACACAAAGAACCTTACATATTATATGCATTCAACATGTTTAGGTTTCTTTCAATTGCCTGTTTATATCCTCAACCCATTTTTTTTGTTTTGAGATGCAGTCTTGCTCTGTTGTTGCCCAGGCTGAAGTGCAGTGGTGTGATCTTGGCTCACTGCAACCTCCACCTCCCGAGGTTCAGGCGATTCTCCTGCCTCAGCCTCCAGAGTAGCTGGGATTACAGGTTCATACCACCCCACCTGGCTAATTTTTGTATTTTTTAGTAGAGATAGGGTTTCGCCATGTTGGGCAGACTGGTCTTGAACTCCCAACCTCAGGTAATCCACCTGCCTCGGCCACCCAAAGTGCTGGGATTACAGGCGTGAGCCACCACATCTGGCCAACCCATTTTTTTCTAATTGGGTTCTTGTCTTTCTTATTAAAGGATCTGTTTGCATATTGTGGATATTAATCCTTTGTTAGGTTTGTTGCAAAGCTTTCCTGCAAGTTTGTTTTTGGTTATTTGTTTATTCATCTGATGTGTACTGGGCACCTACTCTGTGGCAGAGACTGCTAGGAGCTGCAAATAAAGTAGTGAATGAGGCAGATACAGTCTCTGCCCTCAAGCTATTTCTAATTGAACAGAAATTCAAACAAAAGTAAGTTTAAAGTGTGACAAAGGCTAAGAAGGAATTTAGCAAAAGGGTGGGACAGAAGGGGATCCACTTTTGGTGGGGCGATCATGAAAGGCCTCTCTAAGTTAATTAACATGGAAGACGGCATTGAAGGATGAGAAAAAGCCAGTCATGTCATGAGTGGAGGGACAAGCATATTACAAAGGACCGCAGTTGTAAAACTTGGTACATTCAGTAAATGGAAAGATCACATTCCCAAGGCCGGGCGCGGTGGCTCACGCCTGTAATCCCAGCACTTTGGGAGGCCGAGGCGGGTGGATCAAGAGGTCAAGAGATCGAGACCATCCTGGTCAACATGGTGAAACCCCGTCTCTACTAAAACTACAAAACATTAGCTGGGCATGGTGGCGCGTGCCTGTAATCCCAGTGACTCAGGAGGCTGAGGCAGGAGAATTGCCTGAACCCAGGAGGCGGAGGTTGCGGTGAGCCGAGATCGCGCCATTGCACTCCAGCCTGGGTAACAAGAGCGAAACTCCGTCTCCAAAAAAAAAAAAAAAAAAAAAAAGGATCACATTCCCAAATCATAATTGGCAAGGAGGATAGTGATGGGAGATGAGTCAGAAGAGGTTGACAGGGCCTCATAGGACAAGGTTAAGGAATTTGATTTTATTATAAGAGAAATGTATAATTATATTTTATGTATATATATACACACACACATACATATATATACATATATATAATCATTACCATTTTTTTTAAGTGACAGGATCTTGCTCTGTTGCCCAAGCTGGAGTGCGTGGTGCAATCACAGCTCACGGTAACCTCAAACTCCTGGACTTAAGCGATCATCCCACCTCATCCTCCCCAGTAGCTGGAACTACAGACATGCACCACCACACCTGGCTAATTTTTAAATTTTTTGTAAAGACAGAATCTTGCTATGTTGCCCAGGCTGGTCTTGAACTCCTGGCCCCAAGCAACCTATTTATATTTTAAGGAAGATTCTCATGGCAGCTGTGACAATGGATTACAGAAGGGAGAGATCAGACAGCAGGCTACCGTGTTATTGACAGAAGTTAGGATAATGGCTTGCACCACGTGGTGACAGTGAGCTTAATAAGAAGGCAGATTTCAGGTGTGTTTTTTGCTTGTTTTTGTGTTTTGTTTTGTTTGCGAGACAGAGTCTTGCTTTGTCACCCAGGCTGGAGTGCAGTGGCCCGATCTCAGCTCACTATAACCTCCGCCTCCCAGGCTCAAGTGATTCTCCTGCCTCAGCCTTCTGAGTAACTATGATTACAGGTGCCTGCCACCACGCCTGGCTAATTTTTGTATTTTTAGTAGAGACAGGATTTCACCATGTTGGCCAGGCTGGTCTTGAACTCCTGACCTCGTGATCCGACCACCTGGGCCTCCCAAAATGCTGGGATTACAAGAGTGAGCCACCGAGCCTGGACTTGGGTATGTTTTGAAACAGTTCAAAATGGTTTGTTAAGAAACTGAGTGGATGGCAAGGAAGAGGAAGAAATCAAGAATAATTCCCCATTTTCTTGCTGCTGAACTTACTGGGTGCTGGTCGTGCTATTTAAGGAGGTAGGGAAGACCATCACGGGAAGGGGACAGATTTGAAAAGAACCAAGGCTTCAGTTTTTTACTTGTTGATTGAATTAACACATTAAATCTTCACTCCAACTCTGTAAGTACTATCATTCACTCTGCTTTAAAGATGAGAAAACTGATCCAGAGAGAAATTAAGTAGCTTGCTAGGGTTATAAATGATAAAGCCAGAATCTATTGATCTCTCTCTCCATTTTCCACTCCTTCCCTCCACCCAATCATTTATCTTTTTATTGAGACAGACTCTCACTCTGTCGCCCAGGCTGGAGTGCAGTGGCACGATCGTGGCTCACTGCAGCCTTGATCTCTCTGGCTCAAGTGATCCTCTCACGTCAGTCTCCCAAGTAGCTGGGACTACAGGCATGTACCACCACACCCTGCTAATTTCTGTATTTTTTATAGAGATGGAGGTCTCACTATGTTGCCCAGGCTGGCCTCAAACCCCTGGGCTCAAGCAATCCTCCTGCCCCAGCCTCCAAAAGTGCTGGGGTTACAAGCGTGAGCCACTGCACCTGGCCGTTTAAATCCTCATCCATCCATTCATTCTTCGAATCACCCATCGCCTCATCTTCTTAGTTCCCCACACACCATTTTCTCAATTCACCCATCCATCTCTTCATCCACTCATGCAATCATCCATCCGTCCTCCCCAATAAATATTCACCACTTGCGAGCTTCCTCAGGCACCTGATACCTGCTGTGCAGGAGGAAAGTCAGGGATGAGAAGGCATGAGACAGACATACTGGCATGCAGCTCAGCTTAAGATATTTATTCAATGCTCTCACATTTGGCCTCTGCAACCCAGAAAAGGGGTAGAGCAGGGTAGGAGCACATGATGCATCCTTCAGACACTGCAACCTCCAGGAGGATCAGGTCATCTTCAGGATGTCTTCATTCCCCGTGGATGACTGATCAGTCATAACTGCAAGAGACAGATACTTAGCACTTCCGTTTGCAGACTAACCACCCACCCTGACTGCCCTCATCCCATGAGGATCCAGGTGCCTCTGCCCCAAGAAGCCTGGTTTCCACACTACATCCCTCACCATGGGGAGAAGTCCTGCGCTCTCCATTTCTCCACCGCTGGCTTCTGCTCTGAGTTATACCCATCGTTGGTCTGGTCCCCGTCAAAGTTTCCACAGGCCCCACACAGTTTCCCAGCATGGTCATTGCTGACCATCACAGCCAGCTTCCCATCGGCTCCTAGCCACACCTGGACCCCTGCCTCCTGGCGGACTAGCAGGGAGCCATCAGGTGTACGACTCACGGACACAGATGCTAACTTCTCAGCTGGGAGATCCACTCGGAGACCATTCACCTGGTGGGGGGCAGGCAGCAAACACAGAGGTGAGGCCACAGCCATAGAAAAGCTGGGTGTTACCAGGATAGAGAGACCCCAAACAAGATAAGTTCGTGGAGCTAAATCAATGAGACCTGGATGTTTGCACTATTTGGAGCAATGGATACGTGAGAAGATAGCTGGACAACTGAATAGATGGATAGAGTGGAGAGTGGAGGGATGGAGAGATGGACCCATGGACCTACACAACGCCCCAAAGTCTGTCAATCAAGCCCCAGGGTCATCCTGTATGGTTCTAGTTTTCTTTTTCTTTTCTTTTTTTTGGGGGGTGGGTCTCACTCTGTCGCCCAGGCTGGAGGACAGTGGCGCACTCTTGGCTCACTGCAACCTCCGCCTCCCAGGTTCAAGCAATTCTCTGCCTCAGCCTCCTGAGTAGCTGAGATTACAGGCACCCACCACCACACCCAGCTAATTTTTGTATTTTTAGTAGAGATGGGGTTTCACCATCTTGGCCAGGCTGGTCTTGAGCTCCTGACCACATGATCTGCCCGTCTCAGCCTCCCAAAGTGCTGAGATTACAGGCCGGAGCCACCATGCCTGGTCTTTCTTTTCTTTCTTTTTTTTTTAAGATAAAGTTTTGCTGTGTCATCCTGGCTGCAGTGCAGTGGCGCAATCACAGCTCACTGCAGCCCTGACCTCCTAGGCTCAATCAGTCTTCCCACTTCAGCCTTCTGAATAGCCGAGACTACAGGACTACAGGTGTGCACCACCACAACCAGCTAATTTTTGTATTTTTTTTGTAAAGATGGGCGCTCTCACTATGTTGCTAGGCTGGTCTTGAACTTCTGGACTCAGGTGATCTGCCTACCCCAGCCTGGTTCTAGTTTGCAAAATAAAACAAACTTTGAGCACATCCTGTAAGTTGCTGGTTCCCTATCCTTTATTTTTGCAATGCTGATGTCTGAAGATAAGTAATGACTTTAGCAAATATAATAATCATCTGAGAAAATTACTTTTTCTTCATCATGGGCTGCAGACCCAGTAACTTTGTGAGTTTTTTTCCTTTAAATAACTGTTGTCTACGTTAGTTGGTGAATTAACCCTTCTAAAGTTAGATTCCCTAGAGAAACTTCCTTGAAAGAGTTCTCTTTTTTTTTTTTTTTTTTTTTTGTAAGTGCTTTGTTTGTTTGTTTTGAGATAGAGTCTTGCTCTGTCACCCAGGCTGGAGTGCAATAGTGTGATCTCAGCTCACTGCAACCTGCACCTCCCGGGTTCAAGCAATTCTCCTGCCTCAGCCTTCTGAGTAGCTGGGACTACAGGCATGTGCCATCATGCTTGGCTAATTTTTTTATTTTTAGTAGAGACAGGGTTTCGCCATGTTGGCCAGGCTGGTCTCTAACTCCTGACCTCAAGTGATCTGCCTGCTTTGGCTTTCTAAAGTACTGGGGTTACAGGCATGAGCCACCATGCCCAACCCTCTAAATGCTTTTGTATTGGAGTTTTCCTCTGCATACATGCAGAGGAAAATGTAAAAAAGAAGATTGGAGAGACAGGTAGATAGATCTGAAATGACAGGTGGGTGGATGGGTGGGTGAATGGATGGATGGATGGATGGATGGAAGAAAGAAAAAAGAAGAAGGCAAGAAGTAAGGAAATAGGAAAAAGAGAAAGGGGGTAGAATAGATGCTGGATGAAGGGAGGAGAAAAAGGAGGATGGGCGTAGTGAAGGATAGATGAAGACTAGTGGATGGAAAGTCTCAGTAGGGTAATGTATAACTGAGTCTGAGCCATCTCTGTTATCCAGCACATGGCTTGGCACAAAAGAAGCAAGGCTAAGTTTATTCACAAAACCCTCTAGGTGCCATGCCCTGATCTGGGTACCAGTGACCAAGATGGACAGGATCCCTGCCTACCTGAGGCTTATATTCCAGTGATGAACAAAGATGCTGAACATCTGGGAGTTTCCTTCTAGGAGTCTGGAACTTTGGTAGGTGGATACTGAAATTCCAAAACCCAGGCACTGAGACACTAATGAACTTCCCTGGTAGACAACATTTCATGTTTCATCACAACTTATTGCTGGAGGAATTAAGCACATCCTGCATGACTCTATCGAGAAAGGACTCTCAGAAGCTTGCACCTGATTTCCCCTGAACTTTGCATGATGCACCTTTTCTGTTTGTTGATTTCACGTCGTATCTTTTCCCCATGACACATCTTAGCCCTAAGTACAACTATATGCTGAGTCCCATGAGTCCCAGTGAATCACTGAACCTGGGGGTGGTTATGGGAAACCCTGACACATGATGTGACCCCCCCCCAGCCTTGATCAATCACAGAACTTCCTCCCTGAAGTCACAGTGATTGGCTCCAGGGGTGGGCATGTGCCCCAAACTAGCCCAGGGAGATATAATCCTCGGTCTTTTGTTGAACCATTTTCTGCTAGGGTAGCTAAGCTGGTGGGGTGCAGTCCTGGGCAGCTGGGGGGTTGTCTTTACCCCTGCAAGTGGAAAGCCTGTTTGATAATAAGCTGATTTGGCAAATAGCAAGTCTCAAAGACAGAAGTACAAATTTCTGGTAATGTTGCCAAGGCACCTAGATTCAGCCATTCCTGAGGCTCCATCCTTGGATTTTCTTGTTACACGGACCATTAAATTCAATTTTGCTTAAGGCAGCTTGAATTTGGTTTTAAGTCACTTGCAATCAATAAAGTCTCAATTCATACTAACGTCAAGACTATTAAGTTACTTGAGTATGTTTTTGCTCCTCAAGAACTCAGCCAGAACAAAGGGACTAAGTTTGAAATACTGAGATGAAAACCAATCCAGAGACCAAAGTGCAGAGACATGGATAAAGAAAACAGATTGCCAGGCAGAAAGGAAGCCAGGAATGTGGGGACACTATAATCAGAAGAGCAAAAGCCCAGGGAAGACATTCCCCAGCCCCCACTCACAAACTTACCCACACACCCTTGTTTGGGGTCACTGTCACCATCCCATCCTGGAAGAAGATGTGGACCTGGCTCACAGCCTCAGCTTTACCATGGCAGGTCTGGACATCAGCAACCACACGGTACCAGGGGATGGTCTTCTCTAGTCCTGGGCAGCGGGAAGAGAGCTCATAGACACCAGGAGAGGTGATGGCACCATGGGCACCATCAAAGGTGGTGAGGTTGGCACCCACAGACAGGAAACAGAGACCACGGGGAGCCCAGCAGTCCCGGGCTTCAGCCTGGACTTCACATATATGGCCTGGTGGGCAGCCAGCTGCCTGGCATGTCAGGCCAGAGCTTGGGGAACAGGAACAGCGCTCACTGCAGTCTGAGGTCAGCAGGGAGGAGTTCACCTGTGCACAGAAAGGGGCCAGGTTATGGCGGTGTGATGGATCGCAAAAATGGCCACACTCCTTGAACCCTCTGTTTTTATGCAGAGTGATTTTACAGACTCCCATTAAGAAATAGAGTTTATTTCTCCCTCCCTGTGAATCTGGGTTGGCCATAAGACTATATTTAGTTCAATGACACACAGAAGAAGCAATGTTGTGCCAGGTTTAAGCCTAGACCTCAAGACATCTTACGGCTTCTCTTTCTCTCTCTCTCACAGAGATACACAGAACCTCACCCAGCCACCATGACAACAAGCCTGGGCTAGCTCCCTAGAAGATGAGTGACCCCACGGAACATAGATAACTCTTCCAGCTCAGGCCACCCTAGACCAGGCAGCCTTCAGCTGATCTACCAGGTGATTACAGACATTATACATGAGTAAGCCCAGGGGATAGCAGAAGAACCGCCCAGCCAAGCCCAGCCTAACTGCAGTCACAAAATTGCAAACGAAATGAATAATTGTTGTTTTAACCCACCACATTTTGGAGTGATCTGTAACCTAGCAAAAGCTAACTGATACAGGTAAGAAATGAAGAAATGTAACTAACAACATAAATGCCATCTCTACACTGATGATTCCCACATCTCTAGGCCAGACCTGTCCCTTGAATGCCAAACTCACAAATCCAGGAAGATTTCTGGCATAGGCAGAGGGGTCAGGGCAGGGATGGGGAAGCATAGGGAGCTGTAGGGGTTTAGAGGAGGCACCTAACCCAGCCTAGGGGATCATGGTTGGCTTCTGGTAGGCAGTGAGACCTGAAGAAAAGAGCAAAATTTGGCTCCATGTGCAAGCAATGCAAGTTAGCGTAGTGTGCTAATGGGTAGCCTTGGGCTGACTTCTCTATGTCACAATTTCTTCATCTGTAAAATGGGGAAAATAGCCATAGTATCTATTGCATAGGATTTCCGTGATTATTAAATGAATTATCATCCATAACATGGCTGGGAGAGGTGGCTCCTCCCTGTAATCCCAACACTTTAGGAGGCCAAGCCAGGAGGATCACTCGAGCCCAGGTGTTTGAGACCAGCCTGGATAACATAGCAAGACCACATATCTACAAAAAAAATAATCAGCCAGGCATGGCAGTGTGAGACTGTGGTCCCAGCTACTCAGGAAGCTGAGGCAGGGAGATCACATGAGCCCAGGAATTCAAGGCTGCAGTGAGCCATGATCACACCACTGCACTCCCACCTGGGAGGCAACATGCAATCCTATCTCAATCAACAAATAAATAAAAATAAAATAACACGCATAACAAACATGGTGCACGGTAAGAGCTGAAAAATCATTAACAAGAATAAATCAATTCTGCAATTCAATTCACATTATCAAACAAGTATTAGGTGGGCCACCTATTTGCACTGTTGTAAACTGCTATTTCTTTTTACCAAGTGTGACGAACATGCAGGGCAAGGCCTAGTGCTCAGTGGGTATCTTTCCTGCATAATTGAGTGTGATCCTCAGCCACCTATGCCACTAAGATGGGTGATTAGCCCCGTTTTACAGGTGAAGAAAATGACGTTCAAGGAGGGCCCAGATGATGCCCCCACTCCAAGATATCAAGTCCTAATCCCTGTAATGAATAAATGTTACCTTATACGGGAAAAGGGTGTTTGCAGATGAGATGGAATTAAGAACCTTTTTTTTTTTTTTTTTTTTTTT